GTGCATTTCGACCTGTACAACCAACAATAAAATCAAAACGTGCATCAAGTGAAGGTCATTCGCCTTCAAGTGAGCATCATATATCATCTTCAACAACATCTATATCATCATCATCGTCATCATCATCATTAGCATCATCACCACCAAATTCTTCTATATCAAATAGAAAAAAATTACATTTATTAAAACAAAGACGTTTATCATGTGAGTTACCTGTACCAATATTAACACGTATAAATTCAAATAGTTTAACACGTTCAGTTTGTGATCAAACATCAACGACAAAATTCAATGATATTTCACGTACAATGAGTGATACATTATGTGATCAATTTAGTGAAATTAATCTAGATGCTATTGAAAAAGATTCACTTGCACAACCAATTATAAATAAAAATGAACAAAATATTAAAAAAAATGTAAATATTCAACAAAATTTATATACAATAATAAAAGATTATCGAAGTTCACGTGCTTCATTTTCCGTTAAACGTGGTGATTATGTTCATATAATTAAACAAGTTGGACGTGCATGTTTTCTTGTTCGAAAACAAAATAATGGACAAACTGGTTTTTTACCTAAAGCATTAATGATACCAACAACAACGACAAAAATTGATACTTTTCTTGAAATGCATGGTTATCGAGAGACAGTTATTTAATTTTACATATTCTTTTTTCGATTTTTTTTTCATTGTCTTTTGTTTTTTAGTTGTGAATTAATATAATTATTATTGTACGCTCCATTTTTTTTTGTTTGTTTTGTTTTTCTAGTCCTTGAAAGGTTTTCTTTTTGTTTTTTTTTTGCTTCTCTATAATCTTTACTTAATGTTTCGGTCTGTGTTACGCACATTATAATCCATTCAATAATGTTCTCTAACATATGTATAAGTATATATATTTGTTCTTATTCATAAATTGTATTTAATATAGAGAACTTGACATGTAACGACAGAAAAAGAACTACTTAGGATAATAAAAAAGAAATAAAGAAAAATTTTGCTATTCAAAAATCTAATATTGATTTTGTGATTGAATGTTTCAGTTATGTTTTAAACATATCTTCAGATAATAAATAGCCGTTTAGTTAAAATCAATATTATAATGAAATTATAACTCAGACGGTAATTCATTTGTTCATCAGTAGACATTTTAGTTTATTGTCTTTCTTTTTCTTCTGTATATGCTATTCGTTAGATTCGAACAGTGGTACTAGATATTTATTATCTCATAAAGCCAATCATTCAAAATTTAATAAATATCGTTATATCGTTTTAATGTATATGAAGATACGAATATTCTATTTAGAAATAATTATTGAAATATTTGTTTCATGATTTAATATTGTATATTTATATAGTTTAAAAATCTTACCAGTCTATTCTTACTACAATGATCATTTCTAAGAAATTAGATTGATTGTTATAGGAGAGAATTTATCGATTGTATGAAATTTATATAAAAGAATAAATCTAATTTAATATAAAAATTATTCTAATCAAATTATTGATAAAATATCTTATCCAATATGTACTTATATATGAAGACAAATAAGAGAACGGCCTGATGGTCTAGTGGTATGATTCGCGCTTCGGGTGCGTGAGGTTCCGGGTTCGATCCCCGGTCAGGCCCTGCTAGATATTTTTTTGTTCTTCCTTTTACTTTTTTTTGCTATTAGACATTATAAACCCATTTGATTGTTCCTCCTCTTAATCGAAGCTATTGCTAATAAATCATGTATTACATAGTTTCTACGTTTCTTTTTCATATCAATAAAATGCTCAAACTATTCTCTCTAACTATAATGATCTATTGTATAAACATTAGATTTTGACAAAAAAATTTGATGATCATATAATACAAGGCATATTTTTGCTTGCAAGGTAGTTAATATATATATATTTTGATATGTAAGCATATTTTAATTTAGTTATATTCAATTTTTATTTGAAAGGTAAAGTTTTTATCAAAAATTATACCATAGTGTTTCTTTATTCTGATGACTATTATGACTAGATTAAACATTTATCAAGATTATTTAGAATTTACTGCTTGTGAAAAAGATATAAATTTTTTTCAAGACATATTGATAATTGACGAAAACACGGATACACTATAGTTTAATTGTAAGTCTACTATTGTGAGATAGTATCGTTATATTCCTATTGTTTTAATTATTTCAGCATTGGTCTTTCTTCAAAGTTTTCAAATAATATGACTTTTATTTTTTACTTTAGTATATCATTAATAAATAAACTACAGAATACTATATAAAGCTATTATTCGAGATATTGTTAACAACTTTCAAAAATACAACAATATCAGTTACAGAAGATTCTAGTTGTCACTTTTTATCGAAAACGTTTAGAATGGTTTGATTTATTCATTGATAATTGAAATTCAAAAATAGTTTATACTAAATCGATTCGTTGTTCTTAATATTGTTGAAAACAAAGGCACCGAAGCAAAAGTGTATCTTTAATACATCATTGAACATTATTCAAATCTTCCATTATTAATAATATTTTTTTCATATTCGACGAAATTCATGATATCAAAAAGATCGAGAGGATATATTAAAATCTCTTCGATTGAATAAATATTCTTATATGTTATTAATTGCTTCTATAACTGACAGACATGGGCGAGTTCGAGTTATTCATTCAAAAAAAAGCATAAATCGATGATTCAACACAGAAATTAGTTTCAAAAGATATTGATGGCTTTCTACAGGAAGAAAATTTAATCAGTGATCTTATTTTCCAAAAAACAAAATTCATATCAATCTCTTAATAAACCTGCTAGAAAAATTATGTGTGCTTCTGCTACATCAACATCAATTGAACATGTGTTTTCTCAAAGCAATTTTTTAATGAAGTCGAATCCTTCAAATTTTTCACAAGCTAATATTTGTATCAAGGCTTCGCGGTATCACATGGAATATCATAGTCGTGAAATGGTTTTCAGAAAAGTGAAATTTATTAATACATTTATTCGCATGATTAATTATACAAAATATTATACTATTGAGAGCAATCGAAAAGTAGTGACACAGGTACTTTATTTTTGTATAGAAATTTTCTCTTTATATGTAGTGATAGTAACAAAATCATACTCTATTTTTTCTGTCATATTTGATAATTCTTCAACTAATATCATAATAATAAAATTTCGATAAGAGATGTTTGTTATAAAGTGTAACAATAAAATTAGATCATATTGTCGTCGATGTATGTTCTCCTTTTGTTCTGCTCTCATACTCACACCCATACACCCTTGAATTAGATTGACATTCAATAAGAAGACAACGATGCATCTTTAAAAGACATTATATCAGTTATTAATAAAATTTGAATCAATTCACTGCTTTTAGATTCTACAATAGGACGAGATTTTGTATTTCGTTTATTTATTCATTCATCGTTATCTATTTTACTGTGCTCTAATGGCTAGAATGCAGAACTACTTATAGAACAAAACAAAATTGTATTTTTGTTAACTATACTGAAATAGACAAGAACGTTGTCGATATAAAAATATAGTAACTATCTTTTCTTTGTTTTTTTATAAAAAATGCTTATAGAAGTAGCTGTGTGTCCCATGAGATGGATGAGAAGTTAATCGAGAAACTTATGTCCTATTCCATGTGGAGCTCTGATTTGCATTTTAACATCTTTGGAGTACAAAAAGACATTAATTTAAATGTTAATAAATATTTGTTTGCTTGTAAACAACTTTGTTGATAAGGCTATAGTAGTTGTGTCATTTTATTTTATGTAAGACTATTCTTATTTTATTTTTGTGCATAAAAAATTAGAAACAAGATATTGAGTTATGAAAAAAATTTTTGTTAATATTGTTTATAAAAATAACCAGGAAACGGAAAAACATAGCAAAACAAAACAACTTGACTTGCTCAGTTCTGATAACTGAAACGAAATTTTGATCTAATACCAAAATAATACAATATATTATTAATTTCAAAGCATAGAGAACTATTTTTTCGGGATGAATGCAATTCTCCACGTGGAAATGGAACGAAAAATACATAGTTGTGTACTATTCATTGTTAAGCAAAGTAAATATTTTAGTATATAACAAAGCATTTTATCCTCATGTTCTTGATTATCTTCTAACTGATTCATATTCAGATCAATTCATAGGAAGAATACTTTAAGCTACATAGTATATGATCTTTGACCAATCAATTCAATTAATATATATATATATATAAAATATGATTTATTTATATGCAAATCTAAAGATAATATTTCTGTCAAATTAACTGAATAAAATTAATGATTTCTAATCGTTAACGCTGATATAAATAGTTCAAAGACTTTCATTTTATCGAGATTTTAATTTTATATAAAACATAATAGTTAAACCTTAATATTCCAAATATAATGAAAAAAGATCCTGCGCGTGTTTTTTTTTCGATATATGATCAAGCACTTCAACATACCTCAAAATCATCTATAACTTTATGCTATAATATCTTACTCTCTTTTAATCGTTTAAGACACTTTATTTCTTGATGATTTTTCATTTTTTTTTTATTTAACAACAATTATTATAATAAATGCATTATTCTATTGTCACGCATAATTATATATATATAAATAACACAGATCATATGCGTGACACATTCGGCTTTTCTTTCTTTTATTCTTTCCTATTCAACATATTTCAATGTTAAATTATGGAAAAGTACTTGATTGATTCTAGGCCATGCATATTATATTAGTAGCGTCCTCTGGTAAACTTTTTTTTCCTCATTGGTTTATATGGGAACAGCTGTTTTAAGGACGATAAAAGCCTATCATTATTCACACTTGTCGAATAGAAACGAATAACAAAATATCTAAAACAAATAGTCTACAAATAATTTTTATAGAAATTTTAAAAACATATCTTCCTCGTATTTCTATCAATTAAAAAGCTATAAATATATACATAAATTTGATTTCTTTTTTTTTTTTTAGTTTATTCGAATAATTATGTCTGATGTATTTAGTGAAATTGATTTAAGTGATAATGCAACAACAAATGAATCTATTGAATCACCAACTAATCTTCGAGCACATCGAAAAAATTTTTCATCATCACATAAACATATTCCAAATTCATCATCACCACCAACAAATCAAATAAATCCTTCATTATATCTTAATAATTCATTACATGAAATAACTTCACCTTCACCATCATCATCATTATCATTTATTGATAGTAATAATTCCATATCATCACCAACATCTACTCGATATTCACCTTCATCATCAATATCATCACCTGTACCAACGACAATCTCATCGGATTCATCATCATTATCACCAAAGAATTTAACACGTTCAGCTGCTTCTATTGATTTAACAAAACAAATATTTAATTTTCCCATTACAAGACAAGATTCAATTATTGATTCATTATTATCTGCTATATATGAACGTGATGGAAGTATTTATGGTTTATCATCATCACAAGATAGTGATACAGTCACAACAGGTGATTGTACGGATCAATCAATGAATATTCGTCGATTTAGTGATTCTTCTATGTTACATGATAATAATACTGTCTTTTCAAAATCAAATCTTGCAAATAAAAGTAAATTTCTTTTAAAAAAGAAAACAATTGATATCCTTTTTTAGTGTTAAATCATAGATAATTCTTCTTTTCTTTTTATCTAATTATGCGTTGAAACGAACTTAAACTTGATACAGATAAAACATAATTGAGGAAAGAAAAAAGAGTTAAAATACATTTTTTTCGAGAATATTAAGCATATGACTCAAGTCTAAATACCGATATATAAATATTCTATGTAATTGATATGGGGCTTCTAAAAAAAAGTATACTACAGAAATAAATTCTCAAGAAAATCATTGCAAAGGATATCTAACGAAGTAACCACTCTAGCTGATACTTGCCGCTTGAGTTTATATTGAGTTAACAAGAACATTTTTCTGCCGAAATATTGAATTTTCGAAAAAAGAATTGCTTGCTATAGACATATTACAAAAAAAAAACGAATTTTCTTGAAAATTCAATATTTTGATAAAGGAATGTTCTTCTTGGCTGAAACTTTTAAGGTATTACATCGATCACTAGAGCTATTTATCGAGTAAAATTTTATATTGAAATTCTGTTTTTTAATTTTTTGGTATATAAACTAGATCGAAAATTTAGTACAACGATCGTAACTTGACTGCAAAGACTCATAAGAATGTAAAGCCATACAGACTTTTGTTAGTCTCGCCAAGACGTTCTTGTAAGTTCAATATGTACTCAATCGGCGAGCTTTAACTTCAAGTGTTCCCTTCAGTGATGACCCGAAGCAACCAACATTGGATGGGTGTCACGAGTTTTTGGGAAGAAAGAATATCTTTCTTCTAATAGAATGCAAAAAGATAATTTCAGTTCTACTAGGAGAAAATAAAAATTTTCCATAATTGAAGAAGTGTTACATCCTCAACAGTCCCTCTCCCACCGATCAGATCGCTCCGATTGCCTCGTAAGTTTAAGAGATATAAAAACTTATTTTACTATTACCCTTCGATATAACATAAGATTCCGAATAGAATGAGAATTTGCTATATTTTCTATGACCTTTTTTCACACTGTTATAAATGTTAAGAAGAATGTATTTTTAATCGATTATTAATTTTTTTTAATAGTATTTGCAATCATCAAGAAAATCTCGGAAAATATTCATAGTACTCGTTTTTTTTTCTCTGAAGTATCTTTTTCTTAATACTTCACATTCCGAAAAAGGAAAAAAAACTTCACAAAAATTTTATTCTTAAAATTTTTAACGTTAATATATATGCATTGAATTAAATTAGGTATACAAGAATTGCGACATTTGTGTGCTCATATGCAACAAGAAATAAGTCAAGCAAATGCAATACTTGTGAAAAATCTTCGTCATCGTGATAAAAATCTATCTAAATTAAAACGAAATTGTGATATTATTACAGCTATTTTACAAGCAGCTTCACTTAAAAGACGTAAGTTTATTTTTAAAATCTATTTCGTGCTTATTCTCGTGAAAATTAGAATTTTTGAATCTAATATAAATAAGTTTCCGTACGTGAATAGATGATGATGATAATTTCATCAAATCATGAGATATAATCTTTGATATAATAACTGACATACCGATGGAAATAACTACGAAATTTTTCTCAATATCCTACATATATATGTGAATATCGAAGAATTCTATTGAAAAAAAAAATAACAACATTATTCCAATGTTCTCATATTGAGACAAAGCAAAAACTTGAATCAAGACTAATATAATAATTGTATAGACTATTCATCTTATTTCCCCGAAGCTTACATTCTACTTCTATATATTGTACTCTATTGCTTTGAAATATTTCGATCCTTACGATTGTAAGATACGAGCTTCGTCATTAATCACAGATCAATCATACGTTTATTATCTCTAGGGAACACACAGTTAATTGATTATTGAAAAGAAGAACTATAATCTATGGAAACTCACTGACCTTTATAATCTATTGATTTGTTTGTCTTCATTGTATATTCTATTTATTCAAAATGGAAGTAGTATAAAAAAAACTTGATTGATTCCGTCATAGAATATTTTTTTGTTTGAGAAATTATATTTTTGTTTACTTTTTTCTTGTTAAATATATTCCCTAGATGATTAACGTCAAGTTTGATCTACTTAAATTTCCCTATGTTCACTGTCAAAATATTTTTCTATAATCTATTGTTTCTTAAATTTTTATTGATTAACTTTCCAAGTCAAAGCGATCAGAATAACAACATAAATTGAAAAATAAGCACATCAAAAAAAAAGAATTCTTCTATTTAAATGAAAGAATGTCTAAAAATAAGTCCCGTCTTTTTCGTTAAATCGAATTATATAGAAAAAAAATATGAATATGTCTCATTTGGCGTATGTCAATTTTATATTCAAAAAAAAAATAATAAAAGTGTCTATATCTAATAAAATATTTCTTTTCAATGGTAATTATACGAGTACATACATTATGAAATATGGCATGATCATTCGTCTTTGTCATGTTCTCTATTGAGTTCTTTTTTTCTATATAACATTTGGGTATTGTCATAATATTTCTTTCTTCTTTTTTTTTGCCACTTTCTTTCTTTTTATTTTTCTTTCTCAACAACAATGTAAGCAATCAGTCATAAGCTGCGAGCTTTCTTCTCATAGAATGTTTATGCTGATGTCTCCATTAAATAAACGCGAGTAGTAGTCGTCACATAAAATGATGAAATGACGTCATCATCAATATGAGAATTGCAAAAAGAGAATAGCAAACGTTATTGCCTACTTCTTCTTTTTGTTCGGTCTTTGTTTAACCATGCATCTGCGATTGCACAAGCATACGGAAGCATATTCTTTTTTTTTTCGTTCATTCTTGCGTTATTTCTTATTTGGTATTGAGAAAAAAAAAAGGAAAAGAAAAAGTAATGAACGACAACAAGTTTAGATAATGCCATTTACGGGCAAGTGTTCATCTTAGCATGCTATTCTTTACAGTAGCAGATAGATGATTATAGTAATAATATAAAAGTTCGATATTTCTTTGTTTGGAAATGAAAGAGAATGAGATTGAGATAAAACAAAAAAAGACATTTAGCAAAGATAAATCTAATTCTATCTAGTGAAAATATTTTCTTGTTCTTGTCAATTCTTTCCCATTCTCATATTTTCTACCTCATTCTCTCTTCAATATTCGACGAGTGAATTCTTTGTGAAAGAAAGAATAAAAAAAAAAAGAAACGACGAAATTACAATTATTTCTCTTTGCTTAATGACACAGAACATTCATTGAATTGTATCCATTTACTGATTACATTTTCAAGATGACGATTGGCAGCACTTTGGATACATCAACAAATTATTTATTTCCATCATCAACAAGTAAGATAAATATAGAACAAAAAAAAAAACCAACAAACCAAACCTATGTTCAATGTTGTCTTGTTTTTCCTTTTTGCTTCTTGTCTAGTTGTTCTTTATAACTATAATTTAGATTAGAAAAACATGTAACATAAATTTTGTTTTTTTCTTCTCTAATATTCAAGGTGAAGATACAACAATGCGATTTTCTTTAACACCGTATCCAGGTGAAAAAGGTTTTCAACAATGGAAAGATGCTATATCCGTTGCTATACGAATGCCAGGTGGTTTACCACCTTCAATTCGTCAAAAAGTATTTAATAAATAATTCAATTTTGTTTTTCTTATCTTTTAGTTTGTTTCTTTTTTGTTTTTCTTCGTGTCTTTAGCTTTGGATATCATTAGCTACAAATTATATACGAGAAATTCATTTAGATTGGGATAAAACATGTCGATTTGCTTTTAATAATTTTTCAAATCCAGATGATGATCAACTTGGTATTCAAATAGTTAAAGTAAAATTATAAAAATTTCAACAATAAAACAAAAAAAAAAATAATAAAACCTAATTTCAATAATTTTATTTTAGGATCTTCATCGAACTGGTTGTAGTTGGTCATCAAATGAACATGATCGTGCAACATTAAAACGTGTTTTACTTGCATTTGCACGTTATAATAAATCAATTGGTTATTGTCAAGGTTTAAATATTTTAACTGGTGTTATACTTGATATTGTTGATATGAATGAAGAATATGCCTTAATGATATTAATTTATTTAATTGATAGTATATTACCAAATTTTTTTTCAAATAATTTACGTGCATTAGCTATTGATATGGCAGTTTTTCGTGAATGGTTAAGAATGTATAATAGTAAATTACATATACATTTACAAAAACTTCAATCATCATCACATGACGCATCAGGTACAATATATGAACCACCATTATTAAATGTATTTACAATACAATGGTTTTTAACATTATTTGCAACATGTTTACCAAGACGTGCAACTTTACGTGTTTGGGATGCATTAATGATTGAAGGAAATGAAATATTATTTCGTACGGGACTTGTACTTTGGTCGAAATTAGCAACGTAGAAAAACAAAATGATTATTAATTTATTTACAAAAAAATTCTTTTTTTTTTTTTATAGTTCGGTTTTGAAAGTATCAACAGCTGATCAATTTTATTCAGCAATGGCAACTTTATCAGTTCAATTATTAGATGAAAAAATTATTGATGCGGATAATCTTATAAAAGTATGATTATTAATAGGATTACATAAAACAAAGATAAAGAAAAAACTTGGCTTTTTTTCAATTGTAGGAAATTTATAATTTTGGTCCATTTCCTACACCCATGTTATCTGATTTACGTCAAAAATTTTCATTTAATATAACACCATTTCAACAATTATCTGCATCAACTACAAATATACCGGATGATGGAACAATAAAACAAGGAGTGGTACGATCAAATAGTGATGAATTAAAATTAAAAGTAAATTCATTAGTTGATTTTTTTTTCTCGTTGTAGAATATTAATAATTAAATGTCAGATTTTTATTTCATTATATGTAAATGATTAGTACATCCGATAGAAATAATATGTCATTGTTGAGAATTTTGATTAGATTTTTCTATGAAAACGACATTTTTTTGTATGTTACAAGAAAACATCTAAAGGAAATAGCCAGGAGTGCATCGAGATAGTAATGATTCTGGTCTCAGCTTGAAAAAAAATTATCTTACAATGTATTTGTATAATTAGTATATTCTTATTGTTAGAAATTATATTTACTCACGAGGGAATCTCTCTAGGTATCAAATTGCTTTTCAATCATGACGATATTCATTTGATGAATAATAGAAAAAATCTAGAATGATTTAATTTTCCAGGCATTCGCGTTTTTGAGATATCGAAATTTTACTCAATTTTTCAACAGAAGAGTTGTGGTCACATGAAAAAATCGACTTTCGACTTCCAACTTTACACGAACAAAGTTCTTCGTAAGGTTAGTTGATTGTACAACTAGTATTTCCTTTCTGAAGATGTAAATATATAAACAAAATTTGCTTTAATACATGAGAAAATTTCGAATATTGAATATCTTAGGATAGGAGATACTAGAACAGTTACAACTTGTTCAATAAATTAATCTCAGTGAGAACTTTGTTCGTGCAAAGTTTGAAGTCGAAAGTCGACTTTTTTTTATTCAGGTGATCATAGCTTTTCTGTTGATAAATCCAATAAAATTTCGATATCTCAAGAATGAAAGTCCGAAAAATCAAACAATTTTAGATTTTTCTATTACTCATCAAACGAACATTGTCTCGTTCGAAAAGCAATTTAATACCTGGAAAAGTTCCCTTGTAAGTAATTATCTCAATTTGTTATCTTTTCTTTCTCATTTGATGATATATGATAAAAATTTGTTTATAAACAATCGCCTAAGGTTATATCTGTAGTTAATTGATTAACATAAATTTAGTGTCTTAAATAATATATTTCGAATGTATATTTCTATTTTTTATCTAAAATTTTAATGAAAAAACAAAGATAGAATTCTAATAATCTATGTATACATCTATTTTGATAACATCGTTGAAAGTTCGAGGTCATTTGTAGAAGTCAACAAGTTTAATTCTAGTTCGAAGTTAATAAAATTGTTGAAAACGTTCTCTGATCTGAACTAATGTATACAAACAATTAGTGTTCTATTTTTGAGAAAGATCCTTTTGAGTACAAACAACCTTTGTTCTATTACTGCAATTAACAGGAAATAAAATTTTCGATACCTGAGTTCGAGAAGTTAAACTTTGAACTAAGGACTAATTGACTCTTAGTTAATAGAGATTAAAAATCGATTACACAAAAAAGTTAAAAACTATGGAACAAATCTAAGTATGCATTAGTCCAAGTTCTGACTGGTCGACTAGATGTCCATTCAGTATTCTTGTACTAATCTTTAATTGATTCTTGTTCTATGACAACGAATTATTACACTTCATAGTTTCGTTGGATTAGAATTAGCAAATAAATAATCAAGAAATAAACTTGTTAATTTTTTCTTTACTAGGATAATAAACGATCGAAAAGAAAAATTAATACAATTACTGATGATGAAACTACAGCTGATGAAGATATTGCTAATTTTATGTCTTGTTTTGCAATCTTATCATCTCCATCACGAAATAATCGACGTATAATTCAAATAGTTTTTTTTTGTCAATTTCAAATAAATTTCTTTTTTTTTGTCTTATTCTAGTTGAATATCATTCAAATGATTCAACAACAATAAATAATAATCCTACAGCATTATCACGTTTAACACCTGGAGCTTATTCAAATTTACCAACAACACATAAAACAAATTCAATTGAAGATTCTTTATCACTTGATATAAGTCAACTTCGACAACAATATAAAAAACTTAAAGAACGTAATAAACAAGTACAAATTATTGTTCAAAGTAAAGACATTTTTTATTTTTATTTTTATTTTTTAAATCTAATTTATTAATTTAGCTGCTTCTAATGAACAAAAACAACGATCACGAGCACCATCAATGCATTCATCAACAACAAATAATTCAGAAAATTTTCGTCGTCCAACAATATCTTCACTTGAATTTTCTACATCAAAATTACCATCATCTGTTTGTTCAATATCTAGTGGTCCAATAGTAATGAAATTTTTTTTTTTTCATCTCTAAACATTTCTTTATCTTATTCTTTTCTCTATTTTTAGGTTAATCATTTATTAATTAAACCAACAGATATAAAACGAAATCAATTTAAAAAAACTGTTTCTATTAAATCTTCATCATCATCTATACCAATACCAGATCGACAACCTAAAGTACTTCAAACAATTCAAACAGAATCAATTCCACAAGAAAAAGTTCAACGTTCAAAAGAACAAGAAGCTGAAGAAGCAGCTGAATTACAACAAGAATTAGATCAATTATTAACAAGCCTTAATCTTGAAAAACCAACAACATCATCATCATCATCATCATCATTATTATCAAAAATATCTGATGAAAAAGAAAAATCTACAACACATGAAACAATTCAACTTAAAAATGTTGCACAAACACTTTATAATTATGAAAAAGTTCAAGTAACAACCAATGAAAAAAAAGAATCACCTAATTTAATTGATCGTTTATTAACATCACGTTCTGTACAAATACCTAAATATTCATCATTTAATCCATTTCCTTCACGATCATTTAATGAAAATGTTGCTGTCAATGGTTATAAACTTGGATTATATGCACCTAATCCAACAAATCATTAAAAGAAAATATATTGTCTTTCATATTAAAAACAAAAATACCAATAATCATTCCGTTTTGCCTGTGAATCTCTTTTTTATTTTTAACAATATTATCTTATTGTAAATTATATTTTATTTTTTCTTCCTTTCATGAAAAAAAGCAACAATGAAAAATTCTTTTAGTTTGTTGTTTTGTTGTTGTTTTTTTTTGCGACTTATTATTTCTTTTATTGTTTGTTTTTTTTTTCTTTGGTTTTTGATCTCATCTATTTTGATTTGGAATCTGATAATCTTCATTTTTTTCTCTCTTGGCAATAAATCATATATGATCATGTTATGTTTTACAATGACGCATTTGACAAATACTGACTAAATTCAATATAACGTAATAGGTTTTATTTATCTTTCCTATTTATATATATATACATGTAGATTTTACATATTCAGAGCTGTATCGTGTTCTTTTTCTGTTTTTTTCTGAATAAAAATTATTAAATTTTTGTGTGACTTTTTACCCAAAAGGAAAAAACGACGTAATTATTTTCTTTACTTAGTCATCAAACAGAATAGAACAACAAAGAAAATATCAACATCAATAAAATAACCTTCTTTCCCCTTCCAAAAAAAAAAGGAATCGTACGCAAGAAATACTCTACTCATTTCCTTTCTTCAAATAAAGTAACCTTAAAATTTAATAATAAAATATTTCATTGATTCTGATTTCAATCATCTAACAATATTGTTTAAATTAGATATGTTTTTTTTCATTTTCTATATATAGATGTATATGTTTAACAAATAGAATATATAGACAAAAACAAAACAAGATTTTTTTCCTTTATAGATGCATATATAAATTTCATTTTGGTTTTCGTAAAAGTAATAATGTCATAGCAGCATCAACAACTTCTACACTAGGAATAGAAATAGTTGATGAATCATTTTTCGAAATTTGTTTTTTTCGTTTATGATTAGTTGTTGATTCTTCTGATGAACCAAGACGATGTATAGTTTTATCACGTTTTGTATTACGTTTTAATAATGTTGGACAACTATTTTCATCATTTGTATTACGTATTAATGTTAACCGTCTTTCTGAACATAAACGTTCATAGATGTCTATTGTATATTGCGTATATAAAGATAATTGTCGTGTATTCATTGTTAATAATGTATCAAGTAATAATTGACGTTTTGAACGATCTGTTGTCCATAATGGATAACGTAATTTAATTCCACTCACCGGATCTTTAATTATTTTAACAAAAAATGAGATTTGTTTTGTCATATGATAACGTATTTTACTTTTTAAACGTGCACTACGAATTAATTGTTCATCAGATGATATACGATTTGTTGTTTTTAATTGTTGTTGTTGTTGTTCTATATGACGTTCAATCCAATCACATATTTCATTTAATGTTAATGAACGTGTTTTAGATTCTTCAATAGCAAATAATATCCAAAAACATAATGCTGAATGTGGTGGTGAAACAATATCAGTTAAATTTGTTGTTGTTACACGTTCACTTGACGAATTTAATGATGATGAATCATTATCATGTTCACTATCAGATGAATCAATAAGACTTGATGGTGATGAATGATGATGATGACGAAGAATATCTTCTTTATTTGTACCATATATTGGTAAACTTTGACTAAGTTTAGGCAATTGACGTACGGAATTTGATGATCGTTGATCGAATATATCTGATCGTGTTAACCATGATAATTCAGTGAGATCATGATCATTAGGTAATTGTTGTTTGAAATTTGTTGGACAATAATGAGTTAACATTTGTCTAAAAAACAAAAATTATCTTTCAATAATATATAAACATAGAAGACAAGTGCGAAAAAACAAAAAAGAAAATGTAACAAGTAATGATATCATGTTTGTTGTTTAACAGATAGAATGATATCATCTTTTTTAACAAAAAAATAAAATTTTCCTTTATGACAAAAATTTGTTGTGTAATAAATAGAAGAAAAAGAGAAAGAATTCTTTTATATTTTTCGAAATATTTGACTCATTATATACGCAATATGTTATTTCCTTCCGTTTGACATGTGGTCTAGGTTCTTTCTGAGTTTGTTATTGAATTTGTAGTGTTCGATGGGCGAGACAGAGAAAAAAAAAGGAAAGAGAAGTGGTGTGACACTTACTTACGAAATGGAGAGAGCTTCTGTTTGTGTATGAATAAAATTAGCCTTTTTTTGATGACATCATTCGTGTTCTTTTTCTTTTAGTTTATCTTGATTTTTTTTGTCGAGTTTTTTTTTTTAATTTTATCTGAAAATACAAATATACTACTAATGCGCAAGTGCACTCTCACTTTCACATGTATGCGACGAATTTTCGTTGTTGTTGCTGATCTATACTGTCCGTTTGTCTATGTGGCTATGAAGTCAGAAAAAAAAAATATAACAGAGAAAGAGAAGAAAGACGTGAGAGAGAGAGAAGGTACAGAATCAAGAAGTAGTGAGTGAGTAATAGTAGCAGCGTTATAAAGAAGGAGACAGAGACGAAAAAGAGACGAGGAGAAGAAGAAGAAGAAGAAAAGAAATAAGAGAAACGGATTGAGTCTTTCTCGTAGAGTTAGTTATGAAGGTATGCGTATGCCCGTCGAGAAGAAAGAAGAGATAGACGGCGACAAGGGAATAGTAGTTGAGGGTGAGAGAACTATTGCTTAGCAACATGACATCTGTCTTCCAACCTTTTTTCTTAGCATACGCGTATCTACATTTTAAGCACTTATTTACCTCGTGACAGAAGAATGACTGATGAGCGCAAAAGAAAAAAGAGAAGGAAAAAAAAAAGGATATTGGCTTCCTCATTGATGAATGTTTAACAGACTGAGCAAATTGAGGAAGGGGAATAAAATATGGAAAATATGACAGAAAAAATCGTTTCTTATTAGCACTAATACAACAATCTGTCATTAAACTAAACAATCAGAAAGAACATGATAAAATATTATCAAAATTAAAAGTAAACTTTATTTTGAATTAATTATTAATATTAATCATCGTTAACTATATGCGAAAAATTGAAAATAAACCTTTGATTATTTATAAAAAAAAATAATAATATTAAAAACTCTGAAAAAAAAATAAAGAAGAAGAAGTCGATTTTCTTTCGGAAATCAACAATATCCTGTTCATTTAATCAAAATCCAATTGTAATAAAAAAAAAATTCATTTGTTATCACATTACATATTTATTTTCTAAATATCATTATAAGAATAAGTAATAAAATTATACTTATTATAGAAAATTATTCTAATGAAAGGTCTTTGCTAAATATCTTGCTGGCCCTTTTTAGAAAAATTGATAGATGGCATTCTGGGCTAATTCACTCTGACTGAAGATATATGCTTAACTTTGATAGAGATGACGCCAGTTAATGATACTAACAAATTAGAAAAAAATACAAAGGGCCACGATGAAAATATGATAGAACGCCGTTATTAGCTACGCCTAATTTTGCTGTATAATTATCTTTTTAATTGATCCGGTTACACGGTGATCTCAAGAAATGTATCAATGGATTGGCTTTAGAAATGATGGGATGAGCCATTTGCATCAGCTAGTAGACGGTCGTCAGAACCAGAACTGAACTTATGTACATGTATCGATACGTGCCGCCTGTAGCGTGTCCGATTGACATGGGTATTCTCACCATGTTTCGTTTTATCAACCAATTACATTGTAATGGTCGATTTTCAACAAGACATTGTTTCTTTCATTATTCTTTGTGAATTAATCAATCTATTGTTTCATTGTTTAGGCATAGATAAATATTAATAGATAAATCATGTCAAAAACATATCAAGCCTTGCACATATATTGAAAATATTCTGCTTTTGTGATTTAGATGTCGTTCTTTTGTTGACATTTAATTTTCTCTTGTAAAGTAATATTATAAACATTTAATAGACAAACCAAGATTTCGAAATCGAGTAAGTCTGTTCGTTTTTTTAAATTAATGTTTTTAAGTAATAATTTGGCTTAGACTAAAGGATATTCTTTTTGTTAAGATTCATGTAATTCTAAGCTTTTCATAGTTTTTGATGATTTAGTTGTAATGTAGTAACAGATGATCCAACATAAGAAACGAATCGTTTTATTTTGTACTAATAATAATTCTTGAATCTTAAACTGAAGAAAAAAATATACTTTAAAGTAAAATGAGTAGAAAAATATTTTTTATCTATTAAATTTTATATTCAATCGTAATAAATATTTTTAAGATTTTTGTGACAGTTGTAGTTAAAGCTTATTGTAAGCTTTATTAAATTATGCTATGCCATATGATTTAGCAAAATTGAACTAATTTTGTTCGAACGAGTAAAATCTAATATTGAAGAGAACATAGAATGACTTAGATATTGTTCTTATGTTAAGAATATTGTTCGTATTGAGATGTAGAAATCAAGACTATATAATGAAGATAATTACTAAATCTTAAATTGATTCGAATTAGAAAGTAAATAATTTTTCAAAAGACAAAAGATTATCGATAGTAGTTGAGTTGTTTCTCATTTATAATTAGTCAGATTGAATTTCAACAATGTTGAAATATGTTTTATTTTTATATATGATCGATAATTCTTATTCGAGATGGAGTAATAATAAAAAAAGTTATTATTTTTATTTTGAATATGTTAAACGTATTCTCTTACTGATATAAATCTAATTCTATGTGAATTTCTAGCTAAAATGATTATTATGCTAAATATTGTAATAAAAACTATTGTTTTTGACGAAGGAACTTTTGCTAAATTCAATATTTCATTTCATTTTAATCATTTTTTAAATAGAATTTTGTTTCTTTTTTTACTTCCATTGATTTCTTGTAATTTGTTTCATTAAAGTTACAAAATATTTTAATATTATTATGTGAAGAAGTATTTAGAAGAAAAATATATAGAAATTCTGAAAAAAAAAACGAAAATGTTTAAGTGTTCAATGATTTTGATAGAAGACGTGGAAATAAATGAAGCTAGATGTTTAT